CCCTTTCACTTCCACTCACAGCACAAAACACACACAGACAACTAGGTAGGCACAGCGAAGCGCGGAGCTGCGAGGGATGGAGAGGAAGGTTCCCACGTGAAAGGCATGAATCCACGGGAGAAGAGGAGCAGGGCGAGATAGAAGGAGGACGCAACTGGAGAAGGAGAAAGCAGAGTTGAGGAGGAGGAGGAGGAGGAGAGGAGCAGATGGACTCAGAGGAGGGAACGACGTGAAGCTCGCCGAGCAGCGGTGACAGAGAGGTGAGGATGAAAGCAAACATGAGGGATGGAAAGAATGGGAGGAAGCAACGTGAAGGAATAACAGAGGAGACGCTCGTGGGAGAAGGAGAGAAGCACAGAGGGCAGCGAGAACAGGGAGCTGTGGTATGTGTGACTCAGTTCTGTGTCCTGATGGAAGATAGTACAGCAGTCTACCCAGCAGCCCTCTCTCAGCATCACCATAGAGATAGCAAAGTGAGAACTAACCAAACACGAGGACAGATCTGAAAGCAGTCTGTTTTCATTGTGTCTCATACAAATCAAACGATTTTGAGCTCTTTATGTGAATTACACTGGGAAAGAGAGACAGCGTACAGTGTGTCCCTGCGTGTGTGAGTAGACTACACGTGCATGGTTCACATTTTGTTTATGTTTTTGACAGGTGAGCGCACGAGCACTTATTCATCCTGACACTGGAGGTGTGTTCGTGTGCTGGCAGTGCACGATGAGCTCAGCCTCCGTGTGTGAAATCCTGGAAAAATGGATTGTGTATGTATGTGTGTGTGTGTGTGTGTGTGTGTGTGTGTGTGTGTGTGTGTGTGTGTGTGGACACTGGGATTTTCTTTACTGCAGGTGTGGGAGTTATTTCCTGAGTTTGTGCAGCTTTATGAGAAGATTTACAGAGTGTGGGAGCTTAGATTGCTGTGGCAGTTGATGTAGCTTTGCAGATTCCAGCATCGTTCTTTCACCGCCAGATTTGTCATGACTGATTCTCACTGTGTGTGTGTTTGTGTGTGGTGGGAGGTGGGAGGTGGGTGTTCACGGAAAGTTTGAGAATTAGGTTCTGACAGAGGGAATTCCACCTGTGTGTATAAGACAAGCTGTTGGGACTATCATTTCGCAGAGTTCTGAGGGGTTGTCTCACTTAAATCTCTTTGGACAAGCAGTCGCTCATGTTGTATCTCTTTAAACACACCTTTGCTGTGTAATGTCATCGTGTCAGATAAAACCCAAGTCTTTCTTCTTTTTTCTCACTTTCTCTGCTCTACGCCGCCACATCTTTCCCTTTTTTATCTTACCTCATTAGCTTATATATTTTTTAAAGCGTCGGCTATCTTCACAGTCAGCACACTTTGCTCATAAATCTGCCGTTTGTCTCCACTTAATATTCTCTTCATTCCTCAGAGTAGTCAAAACACCAGTCTGTTGTTTTCTGTCACTCCCTGTCTCCACACTCTGTCTGCCTGCTGGCGAGGTGTTTCCACTGAGCTGACATTGATTTGGCTTTAAAGGAAGGAAACTACGATACACTCTTGGGATATTAGGGACGACAAGGACATTTTCTGCAAAACAGAGCAGGGAGAAGCATGCTGTTAAACAGCGGACACATCAGTGCCCACGTTATTTTGTTTTCTTACTGACAAAGGTTTGACTTCTGTGAAACTTTTGGCAATGAGTGAAAACAACAACGGTGGCTCAGTTGGAAGAGCTGATGCCTCTCAGCAAGAAGGTCACCGGTTCAAATCCCGGTCCGGGGACCTTTCTGGGTAGAGTTTACATGTTCTCTCCATGCATGCGTGGGTTCTCTCCGGCTACTCCGGCTTCCTCCCACAGACCAAAAACATGACTGTTAGGTTAATTGATAACTCTAAAATCTCCCTAGGTGTGAGTGAGAGAGTGAATGGTTGTTTGTCTCGTTTGTCTCTATGTGTGGCCCTGTGATGGACTTGCGACCTGTCCAGGGTGCACCCCGCCCCTCGCACTGTGACTGCTGGATATGGGCACCAGTGACTCACGCGACCCTGAAAAGGAAGAAGCGTGTACAGAAAATGGATGGATGGATGAAAACAACAAACACAAGCTAGAGCATACAGAAACTAATAAATCAGTGGAACCAGAGGAATAGGTGGAAAGCAGGGCAGAAGAAAGTAAACAACGTTTGTTTGAGCTTACAAATTTGCACACGGTTGCTTAAGTACGTTTATCACAAGCCACTGACCAACAAATAAGGATTTCATGTTGGGAATGAGAGTTTCAGTCAAAAAGGACAGATGGAACAAATCACCTCTGGCAGACGCTCATGCTCTGAAAGTTAGAAAACATCCTCGAAGGAAGACTACAATGATGCATTTGGTGAAAAGAAGAGATTTTGCAGTTCTGCAAACTACTGACATAATTTATGATAGAGCAGTTCCTTTTGACCTGAGCTTTTTTGTGCAAATACATTTAGCAACAAATCAAAGACTTATTTGACAGGTGGGTATTTATTCATAATGGACGAGGCTTTGAAGGTACAAAGAAAAAATAACAAATGCCAAAGCTGGTGACAAACGGAACAACTTATTCTTAACCAAACCATGTTGAGACAGCAGTAGCAAGTTTTTGACACAACACTGACGTTAATTTCTTTTTTTTTTTTTTTTTTTAGAAAAGGCTAATCAAGTCTAGTTTTCTGCTGGCCATAAGATCAGACCTACATTTTTTAGACCTTGCGCTGCTAAGTGAAATTCTGGCACATCTACTGCTTATGTATACACAAGAACAAAACCCACTATTTCTGAAACCATCATTTGTTAAATCCTGGTTTGAACCTTGATAGAGCTTTTTGGGAACCACGGACATTGGTGTGAAATTGCATACAAGCACTACAGGTGGCTACAATCAATGGGCCTCATGCAAGAACATGTTCGTATTCTTATCCTAAATTTCTCTCACTTTTGTTCGTACGAAGAGTTCGTACGAACATGTCACGTCAGATTCAACAAACTCTTCTATCTTCAGGAAAAGTGTGTAAATGAATTACACCTGTTCGTATCACCTGCTCGTGCACGCGAGAGGAGATTAGCATAATTACCACCCCAAAAACACCATATAAGGCTATGTTTCCTGCCTCAGATACAAGTGTCCATTCATGAAAATGACAGCGATAATTAAAAAGAAGAACTTTACGAGTTCAGAGATTGAAGTCCGTCTGTTAGAGATCCAGAAAAGAAAATCTGTAATTTTTAGCAGCTCAGCTGTGGAATAAAAAGAGCTGCTAAAAGTATGAACAACTGTGGTAAATCATTTTCATTTATTCAGAAGCCACAGCGCTGCGCACCGTAATCCACCGCGCGCTGCGCGGTTGCAGGTGGTCTCAGATGCGGGTTTGGAATAACCATTTTAAAATGTTTTCAAAATAAGTCTGGCACTTTGGAGAAAACCCAGGACTCGCTGGAGGGATTGTGTACCCCCTCTGGCCTGGGAAAGTCTCAGAGTCCCCCAGGATGAGCTGGAAAGTGTCGCTGGGGAGAGCGGGGTCTTTCTGCTGCTGCCCCCGCACCCGATAGCGGACAAGCTGGCCGGACGGACAATTTATATTGTTAGTCGAAATTATTACATTTAAAATTATAACTCTAATTCAAGCAGAATAGCCTATTGTCAACATAATTATGGAGTGTGATTTATTTTCAACTCAAAATATCTTCAAACTAACGAAATATAAAGTTATTAGTGAGGAAAACCCGTCTGGATAACAACAGACTGACTGCTCATAAAATATACGACAGGTCTGGACCACACGTGAATTTTGTTCGAATCTGAAAAAAAAATCTTAGAATACGAAAACATTGGTGAATGCCACAAATTCTCCTAAATCACTCGTACGCACAATTTAAGAACAAATCTGTGCGTACGAGCGGTTCTTGCGTGAGGCCCAATATTTTTTTCTGCACTTGTGAGAGTAGATGAACAACATCAGAGTGCTGTTTGTGCTACCCCTTTTTTGAATCCTCAGTCCAAAGGTTTCTGTGTTTATCTATTTTTGGTGTAACTGTTTTCACACTCAAGACTAAATCTGCACTCATGAGTTGAGATATGATGTTTGCGAACAATCCAGGTCCTTTGAATGTCTCCTTACAACCAACAATAAGAACCAAGTTGTTGAAAGTAAACAATCATTCAAAGTTTTGTTACTGTTGGCAATAACTTTATCATTTCCTCCATAACCACAGAAACAATGGGTGAAGTGCAACAGCTCAGGGGGGAAAGGGGGGAAGGGGTTCTGCATGACAAAACATGGTACCGCCCACGTGACGGAATTACATCACATACACCATACATAATGATGTATATCCCTATGTGATGACATAACTTGTTTTGCATAGCTCTATTGAACAGCTCTAGGAAACAAAAGGCTTGTCACGGTTCAGATTCCTTCAAAGAGCCATTCATCCTATCTCTACTCATGAGTGTCCATATGGAATCCACAGTGCCACCTAGGGAGTGAGAATGGAAATTACAGTGGATTCAACAAGCACAGCATTGTAGAGTAAATATGATTTGCTACAATCAAACAAACAAAGAATGCACTCGAAAATAAAAAAAATTAGAGATACATATTAAGAAAAAAATGGAGAAAAAATAAATCTAAGGAATAAGTGACAATAAGAACAAGTCCAATTAAAAAAAAGTATGAAACACATTCAGGGAGAAAATAAAAAAGACAATCTAAAGGTCAGAAGAAGAAAAGGAAAGAATTCTTCTAGAATAAAAAAACAATAACACTGGATAAATAAAGAATGTGTATACAGTTAAATTACAATATGAATAGATAGGGAGAATGATTAAGTGAAAAATAAGATGTAATTTTTGTAGCATTTGTTGGCACATGGTCAATTAATTTTTTATGCCATTTTATTGCATTTATCATGAATAATGGCACTTTCAGACCTCCACACAATGCTGTCAAAAATGATTGAACATATTTTAAGGAAATTCAAACCAACAATCTTTTTTTAGTATTGGTCTAGTCCTAATTGGTTTCAAATGACCAGATGGCCCTTCAAACTAAATTCTCAGCCTGTAAAGGTTTTATAGTTTTAGTGCACAACTTGTGCCTGCACAAAATTGCATTGAGCTGAAGTTGTGAGGCTGTCAAATTTTGATTTTCACTTGTTAAGGAGCTGCAGTGGTTGGAGAGTGGATGAGTGCTCTGGGTTTTGTGAAGCCCCAGAAGAAGAAAAAAGGAATGAGAGAGAAACCCACAAAAACACACAACACGCAAACTGAACGGAACAGCAAATGTAACTTGGATTAAAACACAATAACTCGCGAACACATTTACGCTCTTCAATAAGATCCAATAAACACATAGAGGTTACTGAATCAAATGTCAACTTTTTCATATGAACTAGTTTGGGGGCTTCATTAAAACCGCAGCCAAATGGTTTCTGGGATGGGTTGCTAAGGTAACCCACACAATGGAGAAGAGGTGTGTTGCAGAAGGAGGCAGCATACTTTCTAACACTACCTTCTGAGAGTAATAGTTTTTGTCAGCTTAGCCTGAAGAAACTGTGACTAAAATATAAAAAGCTTTAACTATTGTCCAACAATAATGGTCCTACGCAGACTACCACCACTTCTACAGTTAGTCCATAATAACTGAGGTCTTCTCAGTCTTTTAAACACCTTCATTTGCAAGACACAGACGTACATCACCATTCTATACAATGAGAAACAGGTGAAATGTTCGTGACAAGTTTAGAATGCTGTTTTTTTTTCTATTTTTCTTTTTCCAATAACAGGTTAAAGCAGTTGTGGAGAATGCAAAGACAAACTATAAGCAGGAACAACAAATGCATCACAAAGAAGCAACAGAAGGCTACGCTGCTGTGGTGACAGGATAAATTTATTTGTAATATATATAAACAGAACAAAACACTGACATCAAGAGGTCAAACGCTCCAGTGCTCTTTCATGGTGCAAGTGTTTTAATAGTGATTGTGTTTTGATGGGGGGAAAACAAGCAAAGTTCTCTTTTTTGTATGCTATTGTACAATTAAACTCACTGGAGCAGGTGGATATGGCTCACTGGGAATTTAAAAGGTCAAATCAAACATCTAATAAACAAACGGGTAATTAAAAAGAGAAGGATCTGACAAGAACAATAATAATCATGTTGCCATAATACATTTACTTTCATACAGTGGCTGTGGATGATTTATTTAACCGTTTAGAGTGAACAAATTAAACACTTTATCAGGAGTATGCAGCAACTTTACTACGTATGTATCTGTCTCATTTGAGGTAGCGTAATGCAAATGCATACCGAGAAACCTTTGCATCCACAAACTCCTACATGTGCATTTTTGAATATGTTCGCTGCTTTTATTGTATCAAATAAAGCAACCCCTCCTTCCCCCGGTGTGAGACTTTACTGCGCTCTGCTGCACACAATGCTTACCTAACAAAATAGGCGTCTAATGGCAACTCTCAAGGATCTGTTCTGGAACTGGAGCTCTCTTTTGACAAGAGTAGACAGAACCCCACTGTGGCTCATGCATCTGCTGTGAGGTGTGGCTGTATTGTCAAACATTTTTCTCTGACAGTGTACAGGTAGACCTCGCGCTCTGCTTATGTTCAGAGGGGCCAATCACTGATCATATAGCTTTTCTTAGTTCCTCTCCAGTACCCCTTAAATGCCCTGACACGCTGATGTTCCCGATTTACCACTTCACTGAACCCTAACCATGACATTTCCTCTGCCAGGGGTTGTTCCCTCCTGCTTTGCGCTCTGTCCCCGTATACCTCTGCTCATCTGTCTCCCTCCGCCCCGTCTCCCTCTTACTTATTCACTCCTCTCAGTTCGCCGTGCGTCTCATAGCATCTCTAAATATAACCACGCATGTCTATCTCCTCTCCTTTCTCTCACTGCCTCCTCCTAGTCTCAGTCCTGTATGACAAATTTAAGCATGCCTGGGCAATCAGATCCGACGTGATTTTGCACAACAATCCGATTCCTGGAATCTTCCCCCTTTCCTCGGCGCAGAGAGACTCAAAGGTGCGTTATTGTCATAGATGCAATTCTCAACACCCCTTTAGGATCCAGGCTCCAAATATTATTGGATCTGTGCAAGTGAAGTTTTCACTTCTTGTATCCTGAATGCATGAGATAGGTTTCCCAGGGACTGCGTGGCTTAGATAAAGGAGGATCAGATGTGACCTTTGCATTATTATCACACACACACACAACCATGAAGCAGCACGCACAAGAAAAAGAGGATTCATAGTAAAGCCTTCTTCACAGACGTAGGCAGGAAGCAAACAGGCTAGAGTAAATCTTAAATAATAACCACAATGAGTTATGACCCTTGTTGGCATTATGCTGTCGCACACCCTCTTCCTCTTGCCTGGTGATTTATTTCTTGTCTGCCAATAAAGCTCAACATGGAAATGTCACATGTGGGGAAAGGACTGGCCTCAGCCCCCAGGAGTGAGCCCATGCGGCATTAAGAGGGTACGGATTCATTAAACTGTCGGCATAAATTTTGACCCAAGGGTAGTTCGCCGAGCAAGGGGGAGGAACTGTGGAAGTGGAGGGGGACGTGTGGCAGGAGGAGAGTTTTTCAGCCGACCGAGTGTTGTTGTGGTGAAGGTTAAAAGGAAGATACAAATGACAGAGGTGAAACGAGAATCGTAGGGCCAGATGGGAGAAAGACAGAAAGAAGGTACGCTGAGGGTGACACCGCCCGTGGAATGAGTAAGGGTAATGGTCCTACAGCTCATGGATGAAACTCAGAAAAATCTGTCAGGGTGAAGGTTGAGAGTGCTTTTTATATAAAAATGAGCAGGAAAAAGTGACGACCTGAATGAAATGGGATATTTATGGCAAAAAAAAAAAAGAAAAAAAAGAAAACAGGAGTGGAAACACAATTTTATCTGGGGAGAGATGAGAAAGAATAACACTATCACATATGGGTTGAGATCAAAGAGAGTACACATTCAGCTAAAGATAAACCTTTGCTTTTTTTAGTTTCTAGCCTCTGCAGTGTAAGATTCAACCTTCCATGCCTGGGAAAATGTGCATCACATCCCACAAAGATTTCATCTTCGTAATTCAGAGTTATGCAGTTCATTTGTAAATACTACTATAATAAGAAAGTAAAATAAATAAATAAAAAAATCCATGGCTTATATCTTAATCCATCATGGTTAAACACTCTCCTTGAGGCTCTGTCTGTGTGACTGTAATCATAATTAATCCTAATTACCGTGTTTTTAAAGAGGTTGATGGGAGGTTGTGACAAAAATCCTCCTCCCCAGTGCCACGAAAAAGAGAAAGCAAGAAGTAAAAAAAAAACAAAAAAAAAAACAGTCGACGTAAATAAAAGTGGCAGCCCCTCGGGTATTTCACTCCCTAAATAACCTGGGAGCTGTGAAGGAGTCACTAATTACCCCTCCCACAGAAGATAAGAGTACGTCCAGTCACACTCGCACCTAGAATTAGCGCACGGGCCTGTCAGTGTCAGGGGCTATCACCAGTGGATAACAAGGAACAAATCCATAGATCCTGTGATTCAGGCGATGGCATCATGCTGGAAGTGATACATACGTATTAAAAAACAAGCCGCAGAATCAGAGTGATGAGAACATACTACTAAACACATCACGGCGGACAGACTGTCACAAAGTGACCAGATGAATCAGAGAGAATGTCACCATGGCAGATCATCAGGGACTGATAACAGGGCCGCAGACTGTTAAAACGTAGAGGAAAGGAAATGTCTGTAAGACAAGCACACACTCACAGAGAATATGACATCAGTCACGTTGCGTTCCTATGAGCTGGAATAACACTAAATTCTGCCATGCTGCAGCAATAACGATACTTTTAACAATAGCTAATGATAGAGAGGAAATCAAACAGACATAAAACATAAGTATCCCCTTTAGATAGTCTGAATAGGTCTTAATTACAATTTATTTTCTCTTGTTTTAAGTGTATATTTCTTCTGTGCTTTTCTTTTGCCACCTCCAACCTTTCACTAGTTTCTTTTAACTAATGTATTCTTCTCTCTGCCGAGCTGGCTTTGTTCTAATGCATTTCAATGCAGTTGCCAGTCTTATATCTTCCTCTTTATCTCAAATACAAGAATTTTCAAAAAGAATGCAATAATATACAAAACAATAACACACTTTTTCTTTTCTCTGTGTGTTTTTCCTCTCTTTAGGAACTCACTCGCTTCTTCAGCTAAGAGAGAATGAGAAACCTACAAAGGGAAATGAAATGAGCAGCAGTCAAATGAAGATGTTAAAAAAAACAGGCCCATTTGGGAAACCACTCAAGACCAACCCATACTTTGGTTATTCAATCTTCTGTGCAATTAGGGGACAAAGAAGGTGGAGGAGAGAATGTCATGTAGACAAGCCAAAAGATGGACATTTTTGTGTTTAGCTTCGCCGGCCTCATCAAGACTTCATCAGCATGGAAACGTAACAAGAAATGGGAATAAGAGGGAAGAGTTCACAAATTCAGAGGACAAGAAAAAGTATGAACATTTACAATTTTAGGGTAAATGATGATTGATTTGTTTAATTTATTTTATGATTTTAATCTTTATATTTTCTGTACAACTAAAAGTAGGGATCCATGTTTCTATAGAGGTAAGAATTAGTCAAAGGGATCACCTTCATTGTTTATACGTCCTGACCTGCACCTGTAGATGTGGCAATTTTCTTCAGGACAATCTTAGCTGAACAATTAAACCAAGCAGCCATGAACAATACTACAAAGGGACTAGTATAACCTAAGTACTTAACACAAGTTATGTGATGAAACTGGAAACTGTCAGTCAACTGTATAAATCTGCAACACTTTCATTACAATGAACATATAGTAATGAAGGACCACTTTCTTTGTTGACAAATGAGCAAAACAAGGCTTTTCCTACTGCAAACTGCCTCCAGAGCCTGTGGATGTTGGGGGACAGAAAGAGACTAGAAAAATGGTCAGTAAAGAGCCCAATCACTTGCTCACAGGACAGAGCAATGGGAAGAGCACCTTAGCGGAAAAGCTTCCAGGAACAATGACTGTACGCTCTGTGCTCCTCAATCGAGACTCTCCAGATATCGAGAGCCGCCTTAAGAGACGCCGCAACCGTACACATCAGGTTCGCTTCAAAGACCTGGAGGATGGCAGCAGTAGCAGTGGCAACAGTGCAATAGGAGAAAATAATGGCCACCAAAAACCTGCCACAAACTACAACAGCCCACATCCTCTTCGCAAACACAGCAGCATGTCTCACAACCCGTGGACTAACAGACTACAGACTGAGAGCCTGCTTGGCCAGACGTCCGTGGTAGGGGCTGTACGTGAGGACATGGCAAGTACAATAGAAAAGGTGGCAGCTTTTTTGGCACGGGCCCCTCCTCATCCTTTGACACCTGGTGCCACAAGACGATGCTGGGCACCACCACAGGCCAATTTTCTGACTTTGCCATTGACACGAAGGCCCAGTACAAGCACCAGCACAGCCATCCAGACATCCCCATGCCTCAAAAAACCCCAGTCTCTCTCATCTACCCACAAAAGTAGCCACAGCATTGGGGACTCAGTTGGTGTGGATGGGGATGATGAACATGACTCTCAAGATGAGTGCACTACGCACAACCATGTGTTGCTGCCTGGATGTAAAGGTCAGTCCAGAGCTCTTGGCCTTGGTGATAAAACTGTGGTAGAACGAAGATCTAAAGTATCAAGGACAGATAATAAGTCAGCTGTTACCGCAAAATCTTCTAGACACAGCTGCCCACCTTCAGTTCTTCCCAGCACTGAGCCGTGTCACTGTTCCTCTGTATCCTGTCGCGACGGCACCAAGCGCCAGGGCAGCAGCACTCCCTCAGTGGTAAGAAGGAGAAAACGCCTCAACAGAACAGCAAGTGATCCTGGAAAGGAAGTTCATTACTGCACTACCCCAACACAAACTGAAAGCCCCAGTCGATCCCCTCCACCTTCAAATACAAATCTCTGTACCACCCAAGTTCAAACCGAGAGCCCCTTTCCACCTCCGAGTTCAAAATACTGCACCGCCCAAAGTCAAACAGAAACTCAACGTCAGTCACCATCTCCGAGTGACGAACACTGCACAACTCCAATTCAAACCACCAGTTCTGGGCCCACCCTACCTCTAAATGTTGAGCAGTGCACCACTCAAATACAAACAGACTCTCCCTGTCACACTTCCCCAAATCATAAACCTTGCACTACACAGATGCAGACTTGTAGCTCCGTTGCTTCCCCACTGCTGACTGAATCATCCAGCTCAGCTCAAATTCCGTCTGACAACCCTGTATCTCCACCTGCAATTCCAAATACTCCCACCACCAAAATTACTACTGTGCCTTACTGTACTTCTCCTCCGCCTACAACAGCACCAGTACAAAACCTTGAAGACTGCACAAAGCCACCTTGCTCATCTCCTTCCAAGCCAGTTTGTGCCACCCCTCCTCCACCTAGTGCCCTCTCAGTTCCATCCTCCACCTACACACCTACTGCTACCCAAAACTCTATCCCCTATTATACTGTTGTGTCACCACTAACAATCCCCAGCCCAGCTGTTACCTGCTCTAGTCTTTCCTCAGTTGCACCTCAATGCTCCCCACAAACCTGCACCTCCCCTATACCAAATATAGTATCCTCCTCTTCCTTAACCTGTTCCACTCTTACCCCAACTGTCAGCCATTTTTTAACACCCTGCGACCCAACCAAACTTTCAACCAATGTCCCAAATGTAACACAACAGCAACAGACAAATAACGCACCTCTCACAAATCTAATTCCGTGTACGTTTGTGACTCAGACTGCCCTGTCTTGCACCTCCATATCATATTACACAACCACACATCCAGTAGGTCCCCACAAACCCCACCCGAATCCAACTGCCCCTTCTTATGCCACACTCATACAAACTGTATCTCATTGCAACATCCCATGTCAAGCACTGCAACATGCCTCCTCAGTCAGTACGGGCATAACCCCTTACTCATCTTCCCCCGTGCCAAATCTCAACTCTTGCACTTCTCCACCTCCAGTTGTGAAAGCCTATGTGTCCACTCTCCAAAATGCCCAGTCTTGTGCAACTCCAACTAAAGTGGTTCCTTTGTACTCCTCCACATTTCGTGCCGCGCCACCATACACGCCCCCTTCTCAGGCTCCCCATAGTGCTCAGGATAAGAGGGGCATTCGACTTCCACCCCCTCCTCCTCCACCCCCACCCTACACACCACGGAAAACCGAGCCGCCAGGACCTGCAGCTCGAACCCCGATGCTCAGGGCAGAGAGCAAGGCCAGTGAAAAGGAGATAGACAAGGAGAAAAAGGAGGATGTTAAATGCACGGACTCGCCCAAGCTCTGTGAAAAAGCCAGCTCTCTGAAGCACAGAGCTCAAACGCCGCCAGTTGCTGTGATGAAGGGAGAGAGCCACCCTTCTGCTTCCTCTCCTGCCAAGGCCTGTTTTAAACCCAGCTGTCTTAGTTCGGCCCAGGCTCAGCTTGGGGTGCTACACAAAATGCTCTGCTCAGGAGCCAATTCCAGGCCCAACATGCCCAACAGCCAACACATGCTCCCTCCAAACCAGCAGGGTTGCTCTGGAGCCAGGGGCTGCTCTGTCTCCGGGGAGCAGCCTACAGCTCGGCCCCTGACTCCCACCCAAGCTGACACTATAAGACAGGTCCAGGAAATTCTGGGAGGGTTGATGTCAGGGGCCAGGTGTAAACTGGACCCATCACGAGTGACAGAGAAGCTCCTGAGTCCTAATGGTCCTCTGCATGACATACGTAGCCTGCAGAACCAGCTCCAAAGTCTGGAGGGGGTCCTGGAGACGAGTCAGAACACCATAAAGGTCCTGCTGGATGTCATTCAAGACCTTGAAAAAAAGGAAGCGGAGAGAGATGGGTGAGTAAGGCCTTCGTCTTTACTGCAATATGAGCACAGTTTTAACCTAAAGTCACACTAAATTATTAAAACTGTTTGAATTTCAACAAATTTTTAGTTACCCTTTTCAAAATTATGCAAGTGGAAGGTTCAAAAAACACTCCAGGACATAATGTTTGTAAAAGTTTAGCAGAGTAAGGAAATGCTGTCACCATGGATTGCAGTTTTATTCTGTTCTCGACATACAGTATGTCCTCAGGTTGAATTAGTTGTATAGTAAATATTTTGTAAACTATTTAATGTAATTGGTAAGGACTTGTTTAGGTTTAAATCAGTGTCAAAACGCTGTGCCAAAAGAGGAACCAGCATCTGGATGTGTAAATACAGAAGACCGAAACTCACAGGCTAAAGAGAAAAAAACCCTGGCCTTACTGGATCTCTCAGCTCAGGGCCAAGAGCAGTGGAAAAAGCCAGCTGGTCATCTTTCCTGTTCAGTATTCTCTCTATTTATACAGACACACAAATGGAAGAGAGAGGGAAGAGAGAGAGCAACAAATTGTGAAACAGTATTAATTATGACAGTCTGATATTTTGGAGTGTTGGACAGTAAATGTCACCGTCACGTAAGTGTCTGCTGCTTTATTGAATGACTGGTGATTTTTCCACAGGGGTTTTGATTTGCTCCAAACATAAACACACACATACAATGAGGAACACAAACATAAGTGCAGGTTGATCATTTCTATAACATTGTCTTCTCTATAGGCTTGGTGCAGAAATGGGTTTTTATGGGAAGATTATCTTCACCCAAAAGAGAATACCCAGACCTTCCCATGTTATGTGCTGTGAATATTAAGAAACGGGTGGTTGTCGTGTCGATGCTTTGCTGTGCCGCAGCTCCTTTAATTCTTGACAGTCCCAGGATTGCAAGTAATGTAAATACACAACTTTGTGGCTGGAGCGCAGTGTAATTTTGGTTAGAATAAAATAAACTGGCTAAAACATTGATGTGTCTGAGGGTAGGGGAACAGGAAGAAAACCAAATGGAAAGCAGGGAGCTCTGCTTGCTTTTTTAAAAGGAGTCTCATATCAGTCATGCAAGTCTCAACTCTGAAGAACTTATGCCACATCATACCACAGGGAGCCTTTCAGGAGCTTTGCTGCACTCATTTTGCAGCAGTATTTTTATTTTTTCGTCTTGCATGTGTGACTGATAAAAATCAGCATTCGACTGTTGTCGCACTGGTGGTTTTAGATGTCCCAAGCCTCAGTATAAACCCTTTACCGTTCTCATCAAGCCTTTAATTAATCTCCTTCAAACATTGTAAACTGATTGCTAATTTATTTCGCCTTATCACACCAAAATAGCACATACATGATGAGGCATGAGCACAATCTCAGACAGGGAATGACACACATGACTGCGTCTGCATCTGGTGAATTCATGAAAGGACTTGACTGATATCTGAACAGCATAATCAGTGTCAACATCAATGTCAGGCCTGTTTTTTGCATGCATGTGAACATGTGACTGTGTGGCCTTCTGTCTTGTAAAGGAACACATCTTGAGTGTTCCAATATTAGAATTCTAACGTTGGTCTTATGCATGCAGACTTCACTTTCACCTCATAAGCATTATTTTATGCCTGGAGTGACACGGTGATTCATGGTTTACGTAACAGGCCGAGCCTGTTGGAGGGGGTCTAGTTCATTAAAAAATGATCAGAGGCGAGTTCCGGGAGGAGATTTGTCTACTCTTTTGCTCAACAAGGGAGCTTGACTTTTGTTTTTCCTTTGCTTGCACAAACACACGCATGCAAAACATGTCTCTTATACCCCTGATATGTCATCTCTGTGCTTTTCAACAGAAGACATTCATACAGGACTGGACAGGACATTGAGAACTGTGGGACCTGCAGGGATTGTGCTTGCATCATCTACAGGTATGTCTATCCATGCACGAGTACATTTTTTTTGCATATTTATTGTCTGTTTTTGTTTTTATTTTTTGCCACATGAGTGCTGAGAGCACAGGGCTTTTCTCGGTGCACATGTGCGTGTGCGTGTGTGCATCACACTGTCATTTCAAATCACATCAGATTCAGAGGTTCAGTTTTATGGTTTGGTAGGATTGTCATTCTGCTCTGTGTGACAGCACAGCCGGGTGCAGCTCTTTTAAGAACGGCCTCTCGTTGCCTAGAACCTGCTGCAGGTTTGGTCATTAAACACACTTATTGGAGACACATTAAGACTTTTATCCCTCATATCTTCACACTGTCAAATTTAATTAGGTGAACAGCAGCACAAATGTAAATGGTACCCACTTTGTTTCTTTCCGTCCTCAGATAAACACACATCATTCTGGTCTGAGATTTACATTGCAGTCTGTCTTTTAAAGGAACATCACACTTTCACCGCAAATATGAAAAAGAAACTGTAATTTCTTAGTTGCAAATTGTCGAAGAGAATGTGAAAGTAGAGGTGGGCGTATGGTGCCAAGTATCGATGGTAAGATGAGCATTGATACTGGATCAATTCTAACGCTATGAGATTGATATTTTTGTTTACACTTTATTTGCACTACTGACCTAAATGAGTTACAACAACACCTAATTTCCCTCTGGGATCAATAAAGTATTTTTGAATTTGAATTTGAATTGACTTCTTTTTTTTTTGCAAATTAAGTGAAAAAAATGAGTCTCCAAAGTGTTTGGAGTTTTGAAAACCTTTCTCTTAGTTGTGCCCGTCTATGATGGAAGTTTTTTTTTTTTGTATTGTTGAGATTGATTTATTTAGATTTTTGTTACATTGCTACTTTTTTGATATTTTGCACCAGTCAAGTTTATTTTTCTTAATTGTGTGTAATAGAAGCAAACTGAGATGTTTTTTTTTTTACATTTTCAGACTATTACATTGTCTTATTTTATTGTAGCCAATACAAAAATAGTTATTTGTCAAAACTTCTTCTTCTTTTTTTTAACCATAATCAACTAACTGATGGTAAAAATCACATTTTTTTAATGCACATCTCATTTCACCTTTAAAGAATTGGTTTCTGTGAAATTAGCCCTGTATTTACTGGGTATTGGATCAATACCAAAATATACACATACCTGACAGAAAAAAATAATAAATATAAGAAACAGATAAAGAGGGAGGTTATTGAAGCACTACTCTAATTATTAAAACTTTCATGCAAACAGCTTAAAGGTGTTACATTACTCGGTTTTTTAATAAATCTAGAAAAAGCACAACTCAATTAACAAGCCAAAATTCATCATCGGCCTTTCTAATTGTGCACTGAAGCCGAGGAAACTGGCATGTACACAACTTGGTCTGCGCAGCTTACCTACTCAGTCATTTATTATTCATTATTTTGCGCTGGTAATAAGGTGTTTCCCAAAGCTGCAACATATCTTCAAACTCAACCCTATTACAAATAAATGATATTATAGTTGGAGCTTTAGTTCCTGTACAACGTATAAATGATTCAGCCGAGGCACTATCTTAATCCGTTTGTTCTCAGTAATTTATTTATGCTGTGTTTGCAAACCTCCTCAATCAGGATGCATGAAAGAAAAGGCAAAAAGACAGAGGGGAGAGGACAGGAGAGGACAGGAGGATAGAAAGAAAGCTGGGAAAAGAGAGTGGGAAGATAAAAAGCAAAACATATGAAGAATCAAAGGGATCTGAGAAAAAAGAATTTCAAAATTAAACAGGACAAAGGACAAACTTGAGGATAAAAGACAGAAAATGCATTTGAAATTATTTTGATATTTTACTAAATCAGTGCTTATGAATATCCGTGTGAAACAGTTGTGGTTACTCATCTTTAAATACAGTAAAAACAAAACCCTATTCTTTTGAATTTTACAGTGTATGGGCAGTGTTTAATCAGTTTATTTAAAGCAATAGTTTAAAACTTTTGAATGGGGCTCTCCTAAGAACATTTATTTCCCCACCTATTAAAGTTTGCTCTTTGAATGACTATAGTTTGACCTCAGAGTTTAACATGATGAGCTAATGGCTTGTATGAGTGAGACAAATGACTGATTTTGTCTCAAAAAGTTTATAGCGATTCATGCAAACTCTCACACTACCATTAATTTGGCAATACATCGTCATTCTTGGCAAAAATACTGTAATGTTACTGCAAAAGATGAACCAAGCTACACCAGTAAGCTAAGCTATTAGCACTCATAAACAACCATTGGATTTAAAGCAAAACTGATGGAAATGTAAAAGTTTATGAAAACCTTTTTTTGAATAAGATTTGGCAGCAATCCAATTTATTTTTGACCCCACTTGTACTAGAATTCAACTTGGTTTCTCCAAACGGAGGTCACTATAAAAGTCATCAACAACAGGTTAGATATTATTTGTTCATAAACTTTCCAAATAACATTACTTAAAAAATGCAATCCCTTTATTGTTAAATAACACATGGACAAAGGTAATCAGAGTTTTACAATCACTATATCGAGGGAACCCCTTTCACTCATTTGTGACGGGAGGATTTTCCCATATTGAGAGGAAATTCTATTTTCTCTCAGCTTTAACATTTAGCTGAATTTAAGAATAAAATCTGGCAGCTGCGGATAGAAATGGGAAGACAGAGTGAAGCTTGAAAACACTTGAGTGATGGCACTGCTGTAGAACCTGACAAGGCAGATTCTATCAATTAAAAAGCTGATGAAATGGTACTCAAAAAAAGGCATTGCCTGTAAGGCTCAGACAGGTGTAGATTTATTAAAATTAATTTATTTTGTATTAACTGTTCCATGCAATTTGACCTGCATGTAACATGCTTTACTGAAATCAAATTATGACAGTAAACAATTTACATCAAGTTCTGCAACAGAGGAAATCGCAGCAAAAATGACTGATTTTAGACATGGTTGAAGGTGAAATTTTTACACATTATAATTGATAGTTTTGGGTCGTTTTTTGTTTTTATTTTATTTTTGGTCCTTTTAGCCATTTCCTCAGTCAGTTTATTACTCAGTCCTGCCATACCCACCTGCACCGTGCCATTTAACTTAGCTGTCTCTCATCTCCTTGTAAGTCTATTTATTCCCTCTGTCACTACTCTCACATCAGTCGAACCATATGCATTACACACACACACACACACACACACACACACACACACACACACAC